TCTGCTTGGTTATTGCATTCACCCCTTTCATAACATCCACTTTAGTCTGTGCGCTGGGGACCGGACAGGTTCCTTACGATCGACGAAAACTAAAGCCAAAAATCGACGAAAAATTTTGGCCAAAGCCAAAATCGGCGATAACTAAAATCCACACTATACTATATGATACGTAAACTTTATTTAAAGACAAAATACATTACCAAAAAACAATAGGAAGTAGGACAACATACATGACATCTCAAAGCCTCCATCTTAAATAAGTCATCCAGCTCCCCGGCGATGGGCCGCGTGTTCAGAATGCTGCAGGAATTTTCCTTTTGGATCTGCCATTTCTCGTATAAGTACGATGACCCGGAAAAGAAGAAACACTTTCATCATCATTTACTCTATCACTGTCTTGCCAGAGACTTGCCGATATTAGTGTTCAAAAACTGCAGGCATTGTACTTCCCACCTCCAGGATTTAAGTCTGGCTAACCAGTTTCCCTTCATAAATGTTACTTTGATCACATTCCAACAGCACGTCAAGTCATAATAGCCACTTGCCTCCACTCTCTTCTCTCTGACGCGCTCAGGCACACTCGCTGGAATTCTAATCACCTTGCACAAGAAACCTCCTTTATCCCCTCCCTCCTACAACCATTCTCGTTGCTTTATCCCGCAGTCACTTCTTTATTCAGTTATCTAGCTGCATCTTTTCCTATATTTTCTTCTTCTTAACCAGGATTCGCATAGTACTCTTCTCTGATAATCATTTACCTTCTGCTCTCAAATCAGCTTTTACAAAATTCTCCCCAGCATACACACACACATGTTTCAGAGTTTATCAGCAGATTCCATAATTCTTTTGTCTCGCTTAGTCTGCACAAATAATAGTCTTTAGCCTGGTGGCTAAAGCTCTCGCTTCACACGGCCAGGGTCTGGGCTCGATTCCCAGAGAGGGTAGAAACATTAGACGTGTTTCTTTACATCTGTTGTTTATGTTCAGCCATCAGTAAAATGGGAACCTGGGTGGTAGTCGACTGGGGTAGGTCGCATCCTGGGACAAAACTGACGTAATTTGCCTGAAATGCTCAGCATAACAAGCGGCATTCTATATAGGAGTATGTCATTGATGTCAGCTAGGACTGCATACCGTGTATGTCATTGATGTCAGCTAGGACTGTATACCGTGTACATGTACTTGTAGTAAATGAAGATAATATTATTATCTTAACGCAGGTCAAAATAACTCTCTTCACCGCATCTGATCTCTCTTGCAGCCTTTCTGCAATGTTTTATAATAACAGTAAATAACACCGACAGGTTAATGAATAAGATACAAGTGCAACTCTTAGTATCTTTATTGTGTAGATATTTCACCAGTGAGTAGATTTATTATTCCAATATAGAGAATAATCCTGGGGACGGTGAAAGACTTGAAGAAATAGGTTGAAGTTATCAGTCCCTCAGCCATGATGAATCTGTTGAAGACGGTGGAAGACTTGAATAATTAATTTGAGGTAATCCGTCCTTCATCTTTGAAGGAGGAGCTCAGTCCACCAGTCCTGGTTGACTGAATAAACCTCCTTCAAGGTTAAAGGAATGATTACGACAAGCTACTTCCTCGGTTCTTCCACCGTCTCCAACAGATTCATCAACGTTAAGGAACTGATACCCCTCTAACTACCTCTTCATGTCTTCCACCGTGTCCACGACTATTCTCTGTATCTTATAGATAAAGTCATTGATTGGCAAAACTTCTCCGCAATAAAGATGACCCAGTGTATCACCTGTACTTTATACTTCTGAGCAACTTGTTATCAAATGTAACCATTGAAACTGGAGTGGTGATATGTGACTACCAAAGTAGTGAAGCAGATGATTCTGAGATGCATTAAAATACCATTAGAAACAATGTTAAAAAAATATGCATCTACCTGTCTTCAAGGTTATCAACTTAACTTCAAGATTATTTGCTTCACGTATGGTATAAACCTTGGTAATAAATACCGACAAGTTGGTTTAGAAAGACATATTTATTAGAAAACGTTTGATGAACTGGAACGAGGCACAACTCGTTCTCACCGAACCAGACCTCAGACGCCGACGGTGCCTAGAAGCCTCACTAATCGCCGTCACCGACACTATAGAACGCAACACTGGAAACTACAAAATTTCAAAAACATTGGCATATATGATACTTAAGCACCACCAACCCAACAACACAGGAGTCACGTGATTTCATCGTCTACCCGTCCTCATCATAGGTAGAGGTTGTTTTGATAAGGACCTGCCTCGCATGGGCCAGTAGGCCTTCCACAGTGTTCCTCCATTCTTATGTTCTTATGACATTCCTCAGGTCACGTGCGTCACACCTCACTCTCCGCCTATATATATAATGTCTTTCTACCTCTGTATGTTAGAAGTGATCAAGGTCCCAGGACCGAAACGTTTTCTAATAAATATGTCATAGTGTTTGCTTACGTGTCTTTCTAAACCAACTTCACGTATACACTTACTTTGGCCAAGATGTCGTATGTTTGGCATCTTTCAGTGTCTTCCGGCACCCCAAGCATCACGTCATTTACGCTTGATGAACCAGTATTGAACAGGAGGCGTTGCTTCGCCTTGTCGGCACTCAGACTGAAGATGAAGTCTGTGGGATACGAGAGGAGAAACACGAAAAAATTTTACGTAAATGTAGAAATAAATACTTGTCTCGAATGACCCACCCGGGTTTAGAAATTTCCACGAAAATGACATTATCGTTATTTCTCTAGATTGGTAAGGGTGAAATGAGCATTTCACAATATCGTGAAAGTAACAAACTGTGTAAGGAGAATAAGTTTACTTTTAGAACAACAGTATTAACAGCACATGCTATACTTTAGGTTTCCCCCTAAATATACCATAACATTTACCTAATGTCTGGGCGTCTAATTTGTTATCATTTATCTTGTGATAGTTGAGGCAGACAGAGACCTGAACACAAGAATATCTCTGGTTTTTATAGGTACAATTTTCACTGGTCAGGTCCATGAAGCTACTGAAGTTCAGAGTCCAGATTAAACTAAGCACCACTTTCGACCTGTGAAGAAACATTAGAGAGATATTAAACTGATCTAAAGACAATAACAAAAGCTTTAAACTGTTTGTCTACCATAAATTTGCGCATCAAAACACAAACGAACACGAACAACCAAAAAGTGCAAGAACAGTAGCCAGTAGGCCTAGCTCTGTTATATGTAAATCAACAGAAATATTACTAAAAGAGATCAAAAAATAGTGTAATAAGAAGTGTGGTGTGTGTCGAGTATGTTACATTTTATTCGACGTTCGTCACACAACTCTTTATTTAGCATGTTCTCTCGACCAGTCAACTGGCGAGTCAGAGTGTAGCAGTTCTGAGGCCCCACTGCTGCGCTTATTGTCCAGTTCGATCTACCAATCATGTGGAAGCTGGCTACCTTAGTCAAGGTGATGTCACACCTGTTCACCTGGCTGGGTGGCAGACTTCCACAAAAAATGGTCATGTTCACTCATGCATTGAGTGACTCTTGATAGTACTGTTACATTTATTTGATATCTCAATATATTAAACATAACAGTGTAGAGTATGTGGAAGGCAAACACAGCAGGACAGAGTAAGGGCAATGTTAACTTGCCCTTAATCTACGCTGCTGTGTTTGACTTCTCCTTACTCTACCTTGCTGTGTTTGACATGTCCTTAATCTACCCTGCTGTGTTTGCCATCCCCTTACTCTACCCTGCTGTGTGTGACTTATCATTAATCTAACCTGCTGTGTTTGCCTTCCCCTTATTCTAATCTACTTTGTTTGACTTCCCCTTGTTCTGCCCTGTTGTGTTTCACTTGCCCTTGTTTTGCCCTGCTGTGTTTGACTTCCTTTTGTTCTGCCCTGCTGTATTTGACTTGCCCTTGTTCTGCCCTGCGGTGTTTATCTTGCCCTTCCTCTGCCATGCTGTGTTTGACTTGCCCTTGTTCTGCCCTGCTGTGTTTATCTTGCCTTGCTCTGCCCTGCTGTGTTTAACTTGCACTTGTTCTGGCCTATTTGTTTGACTTGCCTTTGCTCTGCCCTGCTGTGATTAACTTGCCCTTGTTCTGCCCTAGTATGTTTGACTTGCCCTCGTTCTGTGCTGCTGTGTTTGCCTTTCTCTTGTTTAGCCCTCCTGTGTTTGACTTGCTCTTGTTCTGCCCTGCAGTGTTTATCTTGCCCTTGTTCTGCCCTCCTGTGTTTGACTTGCCCTTGTTCTGCCCTGCTGTGTTTATCTTGCCCTTGGTCTGCTCTGCTGTGTTTGACTTGCCCTTGTTCTGCCCTGCTGTGTTTATCTTGCCCTTGGTCTGCCCTGCTGTGTTTGACTTGCCCTTGTTCTGCCCTGCTGTGTTTAAGTTGCCCATGTTCTGTCCTGCTGTGCTTGCCATGCCTTGGTTTGCCCTGCTGTGCTTATCTAGGCCTTGTGCTGCCCTGCAGTGTTTGACATGCCTTTGTTCTGCCCTGCTGTGTTTATCTTTAACTTGTTCCGCACTTCTGTGTTTGACTTGCCCCTGTTCTGCCCTGCTGCGTTTGGCCTGTCATTGTTCTACCCTGTTTCGCTTATGTTTCCCTTGTTCTGTGCTGCCGTGTTTGCCTTTCCCTTGTTCTGCTGTGCTGTGTTTGACTTAACTGTTGTTCTGCCCTGCTGTGTTTATCTTTCCCTTGTTCTGCCCTGCTGAGTTTAAGTTGACCATGTTCTGTCCTACTGTGCTTGCCATGCCTTGGTTTGCCCTGCTGTGTTTAACTTGCACACGTTCTGCCCTGCTGTGTTTATCTAGGCCTTGTGCTGCCCTGATGTGTTTGACATGCCTTTGCTCTGCCCTGCTATGTTTGACTTGCCCTTCTTCTGCCCTGTTGTGCTTATCTAGCCCTTGTTCTGTGCTGCTGTGTTTGCCTTGCCCTTGTTCTGCTGTGCTGTGTTTGACTTAACTGTTGTTCTGCCCTGCTGTGTTTATCTTGCCCTTGTTCTGCCCTGCTGTGTTTGACTTACCCTTGTTTGGCCCTGCTGTGTTTATCTTCCCCTTGTTCTACCCTCCTGTGTTTGACTTGCTCTTGTTCTCCCCTGCTAAGTTAGACTTATTCTCCCCTGCTGTGTTTATCTTGCCCCTGTTCTGCCCTTCTGTGTTTATCTTGCCCTTCCTCTGCCCCTGCTCTGATTATCTTGGACTTGCCTAATGTGCTGTGTTTATCATACCCTTGTTCTGCCATGCATGGGGAAGAAGAACACAGTAAGCAGAGCAAGAGCATAACAAACACAGCAGGGCAGAACAAGGACAAGATAAACACTGTAGTTGAGAGCAAGTGCATACATACATACACACACACTCACTAATATATATATATATATATATATATATATATATAATATATATATTGATATATATATATATATATATATATATATATATATATATATTTGAAAGAATTAGAGGTAAGAAGAATGTAGAATTGCGGATGAGCAAGGAGGTTTCAGAGTGGGTAGGGATGTGTAGATCAAGTGTTTACATTGAAGCATGTATGTGAACAGTATTTAGATAAAGGTAGGGAAGTTTTTATTGCATTTCTGGATTTAGAAAAGGCATATGATAGAGTGGATAGAGGAGCAATGTGGCAGATGTTGCAAGTATATGGAATAGGTGATAAGTTACTAAATGCTGTAAAGATCTTTTATGAGGATAGTGAGGCTCAGGTTAGGGTGTGTAGAAGAGAGGGAGACTACTTCCCGGTAAAAGTAGGTCTTAGACAGGGATGTGTAATGTCACCATGGTTGTTTAATATATTTATAGATGGGGTTGTGAAAGAAGTAAATGCCAGGGTGTTCGGGAGAGGGGTGGGATTAAATTATGGGTAATCAAATTCAAAATGGGAACTGACACAGTTACTTTTTGCTGATGATACTGTGCTTATGGGAGATTCTAAAGAAAAACTGCAAAGGTTAGTGGATGAGTTTGAGAATGTGTGTAAAGGTAGAAAGTTGAAAGTGAACATAGAAAAGAGTAAGGTGATGAGGGTATCAAAACATCTAGATAAAGAAAAATTGGATATCAAATTGGGGAGGAGGAGTATGGAAGAAGTGAATGTTTTCAGATACTTGGGAGTTGACGTGTCGGCGGATGGATTTATGAAGGATGAGGTTAATCATAGAATTGATGAGGGAAAAAAGTGAGTGGTGCGTTGAGGTATATGTGGAGTCAAAAAAACGTTATCTATGGAGGCAAAGAAGGGAATGTATGAAAGTATAGTAGTACCAACACTCTTATATGGATGTGAAGCTTGGGTGGTAAATGCAGCAGCGAGGAGGCGGTTGGAGGCAGTGGAGATGTCCTGTCTAAGGGCAATGTGTGGTGTAAATATTATGCAGAAAATTCGGAGTGTGGAAATTAGGAGAAGGTGTGGAGTTTAATAAAAGCATTAGTCAGAGGGCAGAAGAGGGGTTGTTGAGGTCGTTTGGTCATTTAGAGAGAATGGATCAAGGTAGAATGACATGGAAAGCATATAAATCTATAGGGGAAGGAAAGAGGGGTAGGGGTCGTCCTCGAAAGGGTTGGAAAGAGGGGGTAAAGGAGGTTTTGGGGCGAGGGGCTTGGACTTCCAGCAAGCGTGCATAGCGTGTTAGATAGGAGTGAATGGAGACGAATGATACTTGGGACCTGACGATCTGTTGGAGTGTGAGCAGGGTAATATTTAGTGAAGGGATTCAGGGAAACCGGTTATTTTCATATAGTCGGACTTGAGTCCTGGAAATGGGAAGTACAATGCCTGCACTTTAAAGGAGGGGTTTGGGATATTGGCAGTTTGGATGGATATGTTGTGTATCTTTATACGTTATGCTTCTAAACTGTTGTATTCTGAGCACCTCTGCACAAACGTGATAATGTGTGAGTGTGGTGAAAGTGTTGAATGATGATGAAAGTATTTTCTTTTTTGGGGATTTTCTTTCTTTTTTGGGTCACCCTGCCTCGGTGGGAGACGACCAACTTGTTGAAAATATATATATTATATATATATATATATATATAATTATATATATATATATATTATATATATATATATACATATATGTAGGTAGCAGGTTGGTAGACAACAACCACCCAGGGGAGTACTACCGTCCTGCCAAGTGAGTGTAAAACGAAAGCCTGTAATTGTTTTACATGATGGTAGGATTGCTGGTGTCTTTTGTCTGTCTCATGAACATGCAAGATTTCAGGTACGTCTTGCTACTTCTACTTACACTTAGGTCACACTAGACATACATGTACAAGCATATATATTCACACCCCTCTGGGTTTTCTTTTATTTTCTTTCTAGTTCTTATTCTTACTTATTTCCTCTTATCTCCATGGGGAACTGGAACAGAATTCTCCTTCCGTAAGCCATGCGTGTTGTAAGAGGCGACTAAAATGCCGGGAGCAAGGACCTAGTAACCCTTCTCCTGTATAAAATATATATATATATATATATATATATATATATTTATATATATTATATATATATATATATATATTATATATATATATATATATATATATATATATATAAATATATATATATGCAATAAGATCACAGTAACAGGTGATTTCAGAATATGCAAAACAACCACTCTGAAAGAATAGAGAAATTCCAAGCGCTTTCGTGACTACTCACATTATCATGATAATGTGAGTAGTCACGAAAGCGCTTGGAATTTCTCTATTCTTTCAGAGTGTTGTTTTTGCATATTCTGAAATCACTGTTTACTTGATCTTATTGCATATATTTTAAAAAAAAATTAAAATTTT